AAAAAGAAGGAAAATAAAGTTTATCAGTAGAACATTTTTATATTATGGAGCTAGAAAACTCTTTAATACTTCAGGAGCTAGAAAACTTCTGTAATACATATGCATTACAGAAAATGATTACATGTTTAGCCATTATTCTAGAACTTATCCACCTATGCAATGAAATGCTGTTTTCCCAAAACACAGACCAAGAATAAAAATTCTTATTCCAGTATGTGGTCATTGCTCAATAACCATTTTTGGACTGTCTCATGGATTTTAAATGATTTTCAGTCCCAGTTTATGAGCAACATTAGAAAACTGCTCTTATTGTTTCATGCTCAAACCTGGCAAATGAAATCCTTATTACATTTCCTTCTTTAAAGCTGAGATTTCCAAAATGTATTTGAAAGCAGACCAGTTTTGACACAGTGTAACTCACTGCCTTTCAACAACTTCCTTAGCGACCATTTTCTGAAGAACATTATCTTGGAACAAAATTGGCTTTGAGTTTCCTCCTATAAAATGTGCACAGTGCCTGAAAATCAGACAGTATAGAATAATAAAACTACATGTTTGTAAATGGAAAAAGTACTAATATGTGAAGCGAATAAAATATGGCCCTTCAAATGATGACTTTAAAACTGATGCTGTCAAAAAATATTGGTATAAATCCCTGCATCTTATCGGCATTCACTTTATCCATCTTTGGAATAACACATGCTTTCTCTTTAGAATATCTTATAATACTTTTTAAATTATATATTAGGTACATTGAAGAAATAGTGTTAAAAAATTCCTTCAAATTATAAAGTATTATAAAGTGTGAATACTCAGATTGCTTGAGCCCAGGAGTTCAAGACCAGCCTGGGCAACACAGCAAAACCCTGTCTCTACAAAAACATACAAAAATTAGCCAAGTATAGTGGCACACATCTGTAGTCCTAGCTACTAGGGAGGCTGATATGGGGGCTGATATGGGAGGATCGATTGAGCCCAGGAGATCGAGGCTTCAGTGAGCTGTAATTGGGTCAATGCACTCCAGCCTGGGTGACAGAGTGAGACACTATCTCCAAAAAAAAAAAAAAAAAAAAAAAGAAAAAAAAAACACATCTGACTTAAGAACCAAACACTGCCAATTCTCCTCTTCCCAATCCCACCCTTTGACCCCAAAATATGTGAACACAGATTAGAGAGATGCACAGGCAGACGTGGTTTGGTTTTCCTTGTTTTTATACTTTATGAAAAGTTTCATATGTCCGTGGTCTTCAGTGCCTATGCTTTCATTCCACATTATGTTCCTAAGACCAAGAGTTGCATGCAGCATGTATGTTCCTAAGATCAAGGGTTGCGTGCAGCATGCTGCTCTCCAATTTTACCGCTCTGTGCCATTTCTCTGTGTTAAATATAACCGTTTGTCTACCCCCATCGATACGTTTGGGTTGTTTCTAGTTTGGTGCTGTTACCCTGCACAGTCCCCTAGCACATGTGGGGACTTTAGAAGAGTAGTTCTCAAACTGGACAGTAGAATTCCGTGTGAGAGCATGTTTATCACAAAAGGCAGTTCACCCTTCCCCAGATATTCTGAGTCAGTAGCTTCTGGAGACCCAGAAGTCTCCATTTTAACAAACACTCAAGACAATTCTAATGCAAATGCTCTACACATTCCAGCGTAATCAACCATGTTCTAAACACACACCTAGTGTGCTGGGCACGGATGAATGCACAACAGCCAGACTGTTTCCAAGATGCAGAGTTCTAGTAGTCTATATACGCTCCACAGATTTTCCCTTCAATCTAATGACTGCAAAATGGTATTTCATTTTGGCCTTAATTTTCCTATTCCTGATTTCTGTATTTTGGTATTGGCTCTTATTTTCTCTTTTGTGACATACCTATTCAGGTCTGCTGTTCAATTTCCAATTATCCTATGGACATATAAAATTTTATTTTGTTTGCTATCCTGGATAGCAGTCCTTTGTGATATATATATGTTGCAACTACCACTTGCAGTTTATCATTTCACCCTAAAGGTGTCTTAGAATTAACAGAACCTTTTAACTTTTGAATTCATCCACCTTTTCTAGTATGCCTAATGGATTTTTTTTAGATGGAGTCTTGCTCTGTCGCCCAGGCTGGAGTGCAGTGGCTTGTTCTTGGCTCACTGCAACCTCCGTCTCCTGGGTTCAAGTGATTCTCCTGCCTCAGCCTCATGAGTGGCTGGGACTACAGGTGTGTGCCATCACACCTGGCTAATTTTGGTACTTTTAGTAGAGATGGGGTTTCACCATTGACCACGCTGATCTCAAACTCCTGACCTCAGGCAATCCGCCCACCTCAGCCTCTCAAGGTGCTGGGATCACAGGAGTGAGTCACCTTGCCTGGCCTGCTTAATGCATTTTTAAAGAACTGTTTAATAAACCTAATGTTATTTTAAAAATTTAATTTTGATGATTCTCCTTTAAAATTTCTTTTAACAGCTAATGCTGGAATTTTTTGTTTGGTGTGAGGTTGGGATCCAAATTGATCATTTAATTTCATATGCATAACAAACAGTACTAGAACAATTAATTAAATAGGTTACTGTATTACAGTTCTCCAGAAAAACAGAACCAACAGGATGTATACAGATACACAAAGACTTGTGATAGGGATTGGCTCATGCAGTTACGGAGGCTGAGAAGTCCTGCTGTCTGTCATCCACAAACCACAGGCCCAAGAGAGCTGGTGTTTTTGTTCCAGGTCAAGCCCGAAGGCCTGAGACCCTCCTACCCCCAATCAATCATGCCTAGACAAGGTGTCACGTGCTAAGGCATGACCACTCCGATAGCATCCACGGTGAGAGGCAGACATGGTGCCAGGTGAGAGGGAGGCAGAGTCTGTGGCGTGGTGGGGGCAAGATGCTCATGAGCACAAGTGACAGATGAACTTAGCTAAGATAATAATGTCTCTAAGCTGTGGCTGGCATTTCCTAACCTATCATCAACCTTTTAAGGTGAAAATCCTGATCATATATTTATATATTTTAGGCTGTTGGTGCATGAAACATCTTGAGTACATTAAGAAATGCCTGCACAGTCAATACCTTTCCTAGATGTTTTCTGAACTTTCAAATGAAGAACACTTCTTTCCAGCAAGAACTGCCTGTTCTAACCCCGAGATATAACTCAATTCATCCTCTTTCTCCATCCCTACTGCCACCAACATAGCCCAGCAGCTAACATCCTCCACCTGGATGACTGGGCAGTCTCTCCACTTCTGATCTTCACCCTCTCAGGTGCAGAGGATGAAAGCTCTTCCCCAGAGCTTCCTAGCAAGACAGTGCCTGCGTGTCATCCCAGCTACCCCATGCATGCCACTACCTTTCACCTGCACTCTGGTCACACTGTGACCTCAGCACCTGAAGTGTGCCAAGCTCACCTAGCTTTTGCATATGGCACTCTGCTCACTGGGAACTCTCCCTGCCACTGCCTGGTGCCTTGACTCACCTCAGAGAAGCCTCCTTGACCAGATACCCAAGGTAGCTCCTCACTATTCTCCACTCAGTGCACAAACCAAGAGACCCCAGGAAATTCTTGGTTGTCTTCCACACAGAGCTCCTGCAGCTCCAAAGACCTGCTTAGTTCATTTTCATTTTGGCCAAAAGCTGCTTAATAAAAGATATTCTACTAAAATTAATTTAAAATTACGCAAGACTTTTGGCCAGGCGTGGTGGCTCAAGCCTGTAATTCTAGCACTTTGGGAGGCCAAGGCAAGCAATTAGCCTAGGCAACACAGTGAGGCCACGTCTCAAAAAAAAAAAAAAAATTTTTTTTTAATCAATAAAAAAATCATAAAAGACTTTTAGCTAATTTCATTTTCAGCTTCTTCCCACTGTAATATAAATTGCATATGTTGCATATAATAAGTTCAGGTGTTCCCAAATTTTAGCATAATTTTTTAAATTCTAAGTTATTAAGGAAAAACAGATGGTAAAACTATAGCTAGTAAGGGAGACCAGTGTCCTGGCGTTTTGGTGAAATCACGGCAATGTATAAGCATTTCCTTCTGAATTCTTGATACTAATAGAGCATGAACTTTTATATTCACTGAAGATGTAACATTATAAAATTTAGACAATAATCACAGGCTATCTAAGGAGGAAGATTGAGAAAGTTAAGTAACCAGTGGAGAAATGGTCTGCCTTTCTGGGTGAAGATGCTCCCAGCGCCAACACAGCTTAAGCAGTGGTCTCGCCAGTGTGAAGGAGGCACTGTCTGCACAAGCAAGAACCCTCCCAGACTCTCCACCTGCTGACACCATAACAACCTCAGCCTCAGCCACAGTTCGGGCCATAGCCACAGCCACAGCCATGTCCTCAGCCACCGCCAAGGTCCCAGCCACAGCCCCGGCCCCAGCCCTGGTGTCAGCCTCAGCCACAGCCTCAGACGAGGCCACAACCGTAGCCCCAGCCCCAACGCCAGCCTCAGTCTCAGCAACAGCCACAGCCACAACCACAGCCACAGCCACAGCCACAGCCACAGCACCGGCCATGGTCTCAGCCTTGGCCTCAGCTTTAGTCATGGCCTCAACCACAGCCTCAGCCACAGTCTCAGCGCTTGGGTGAGACACGGCCATGCACCAGGAGCCCATGCCAATCTGGTTTGCATTCCCCCACAGAAAGTGGCACCTACTTTCTGTAACTGTATTTTTTTTTTAACTTTCAAACAAGGTTACTGCAATGAGAACAGTACAAGCATTTTATTATACTGAGGAACTTTACCAAAAATTATATTAAACGGTTAATCCTTATAGAAGTTGTTGAGGTCCTGATGGGAATGAAGAAGCATAATTATGTATTGTTTAATGTTAGCATAAGAGATGGATAGAAAACACAACTGATTTTTTTAAGTCCAAAAATTTTTCGAATGACCAGTATTATATTTGTTCAACTTCTGGGTCATCGTGATGTTTCTACAGTCATTCCCAATGTTTCACCAAAACAAAACATGAAAAATGATAAAAATAATAAAATAAGAGACTCCCAATAACACAAAGCTTTTATAATAGTAATTATGGAACACGGACATTTTAATGAATTTCATATTGCAATGAAGACACTGAACACTTAGAGACAATTATATCGATACAATAAAAACTGATTCCACAGAACACTTATAAATGCATACTTTCCTCCAAAGAAACATGTTTTTCACAGATTTAAGTAACAAATGATTTACATAGGATTCTTCAGATTCCAAAATATGTACAGAATTTTTGTCTCTACAGAAACTGATGAGCAGTGGTTGAAAAAGAGAGTTGCTTTGCCCGACAACACGGCTCTTATGAAATTCTGTATTGATACACACTTTATAGCAACCACACATTTTCCATCTATTATTAAATGAAATTCTGGACACATCAGCATAAAGAACAAAACTGTTCCCATTTCCAAATACTGTTTCAGACGACATCACATGTGGCTGACAGCATGACTTAACTTAGCCACACACATGTGCACATGCCCATGCGCGTGTGCACACACACACACCATCCCCATCTTGTATGTGACTCCTGATTAACACACTGCAGTAGCAGTGATGAGTTCACGTTAGAAGATGACACAGCGGCAAACAGCACGGCGCCTCCACTCCCGAGAGCTCTCCCTCGGCATGACAGGGCTGCGTCCCGAGGATGTGCAGGAGGAGCCATTTCTGAGGTACCTCCAGTTTGCTGGAGAAGGTGAGCAGGTGTGGCAGTGAAGGTCACCAGCATACCTGGGTCTCAATGGCCACTCTGACTATGGATTTTTAAAAGCTTCAAAAATGTTTTAATCTGGTTCCTAAGTTTGATTTAGCTATCTGCAGCCATCTTTCAATGTTCCTAACCAACATCCTAAGATACCCAGACTTTCAAATTAAACTCCGAGGAACCTAAGCCGGCACTGTGCAGTGGCCCCGGAAGCCACCCTGGGCTCAGGCCTTTGCATGTGCACTGCAGGAGGCTCTAGCAATCGGACCTCCAGCCATGAGAAAAAGCAGGGCCCAGCAACATCCAGACACAGCACAGCTGTACATGAGGCAAGTTCACTCAGGACAGTAGGAGTCAAAACCTGAGATTCTCATCAACCGGAGGGCCCAGGAGGACTCTGGACAGTGGACTCTCTGAACAGTGCAGTCAAGAAACAATGTCAGACAAAAACACAACACATTTTTTATCTTTAACATCAAAATAACTGAAATATTTGCTGTTTGTCCCTTAGCCACATCAGATCCAAATGAGGTCACTGTCGATTATTCTTCGGCCTCAGGCTGTCAGTCATTTCAGAATCATTCTGGAGGATTTAGATCTGAAGCTCGCAGGACCAGCCCCTGAAGACCCAAGTAAGGAGGTGCCTCTCACCCTTGGTGAGCTGCACAGAAGGACAGGTCTGAAAGTCCCACGTCCTACTGCACCTACATCTACCAGTCCTCAGATGGGTTCCCTCCCACATCACCGTTAAACGGGGCAAGACACAAAGACCTGGGGTGTCACACGACAACTGTAAAGATCACCTTCCTGTGTCTCTCCAAGTGGTAAGCCTCCAGGTGGACGTATTCAAAGGACTGAAAATACGAGAGGCAGGAACTGAGAGCCTCTTTATCAAAACTATAACTCAACAAGAAACACTAACATACAGATACCAGGTGAGCAATAATTCCCAAGAAGGCAAGAACACCAGGCTCCCTCAGCAGGAACGGGACTGGCACTGAAAGGCGTCCCCCTGTCGGAGCTGAAGCGTCCCATCACAGTGCCTGGTGGCTGCGGCCATCAGCATGTGCGCCTAAGTGGCGAGCCTATACCTTCAGGACACGTCGGTGTGACTGTCTCTCTTGCCTTTTGAACTGAACTCAGTATTCCAGCTATAAACCAAAGTGCTCCAGTCAGGCACCAGTGAGACCCAAAGTTTCCCAGAGACCCGTCTCTGAGGTAGTGTTGTTGGCTCTCAAACACCACCATGGGAGTGAGCCCATTCGGAAGCACATGACTGAGGTGCGGAGAATTCACTGGGCTCTGTGTGCAGGCAGCAGGGTCTCTGATCAAGGTCAAGTCACATTCAATGGACAAGTCATTTGAAACATCTAAAAACTGTTTATAACCACAGCTATAAACTAAAGTGCTTTACATTCATTTTGCTTAATACTTGAAATCAGTGACAAGAATCCTATTTCAAAATTTGCTAGCATGAGACCTTGAGAGATTGAAATGATTTTCTACAAAAAAAGCAGAACCCTTTTCTTTCCTAAAGAAACTCCAAATGGCACAAGTCCAACATCCCATGCTTCTTTTTAACTTCTAAACTCCAGGTTACCTTTGCAGAACTGTAACAGAAATGACAGTGGAAGCGGACTACATAACAGCACGTGCTGAACCTCACACAGAGATGAACACAAATCCCGGAGTGATCCTGCTGGTCACCAGCCAGCACAGGCAGATAAGCACAGTTACTCCAAGGGACGCAGGACTGCCAACGCCGCCACATAATGCACAGGTTCACATTTAATTCACACAAATGTAATGCCCTACTGTTCACCTGTCCAACGTCAACAACTCACAACCATTTCGTGTGCTACATGGGCGGTGAGCTTCGCCTCTATGGCCTAAAGGACCCAATACACATACACAAGACAAAAGTAAAAAATACGACCACACGTGTCTCTGTACACTTCATGCAAGCTGGGCACTATGTGAAAAGAACACATACAAAGCACCCTTCCCAGGGTCAGACTCTTACAAAAATGGCTGATTAATATGCAAAAGAGCCTGCACCCATCAAAGGTCCGTGCTGGCAAACAGGGACACTAAGGACTGCCGGTGACCTTATTTTTCTTGCAGCAATGCAGGGATGTTGATGTTCCAACCAATGGCTTGCCGGTCAAACCCACAGGTGAACAGATTGCACACAGGGTGGTCTTCGCTCCACGCCGAGCAGCACACCATTCTCCTGTGGCCCTAGTGACATCAAACAAACCACGATCAGTGCATTATTCCTGATAGTAAGATGTATAAGACCTCAGCCAAATGAATAACTCCATCACTCAAAGTAAGTATGTTAAACGACACGGTGCACAGGATCAGTCCCCAAGAGCCAAGACCACCGAGCAGGGCAGAGCCATCGAACGTGTGGCCAGCCCAGGACGAGTGAGGCGGGGGCCCCAGTGAGTTCAAGGGTTGGTGAGACTTGCCCCAAAAGCACTGTATGACTCCTTCTTTAAGAAAATGAGTAAGATTCCAGTCAGACAAAACAAATAAATGATCAGTGTGAGATTTTTGAAGTCAGACAAAACAAATAAATGATCAGTGTGAAATTTTTTAATAAATGAGGCTAGGAAATATTTAGGGGTAAATTTTAACTCAAAGACTTCAAATTCCATTTTAACAAATAATTGGCTTCAGTAATAAAAGAATTAGAAAAATACATTTGATGTCATATAAAACAAGCATAAATAAATGGCCTTTTAGGTAGATTCCTGCCATCTTCAGGAATTCCAGTTAAATATCAGCATGCTGGAAAAGTTACTGCAAAATATTTAACAGAGCTTACAGCATATCAGTGTGAATGTATGTGGCAGACGCAGGCTCTCAGACAACACTTGGAATATCTGTGAGCAATGCCTTAGGACCCATCTGCATTTTCTAAACTACACAACAGCTCTCATGGGCTGCTATTACAGCATAAGGTACAAGAGTCAGTATTAAGTAAAGCTGACAGATTAAGAAACACTCAAAGAATGGCCTAACATTTTCCTGCAAAATAGTCACATATAAATATCATATTTATGCATTTGGAGAGAGAATCACAATAGGCCACAAAAATGAAACTGTTAAGACAGACCACATAACAAAGAATTACAAAAGGCACAAGAAAGGAAGCAGCAATGCATCCATTAACTGGCGGAAAAACCAAGGCTGTGGACGAGAGCTCTTTAAGGTGAAACTCATGGCATTCACTGCAGAAGTGCCAAGGACAAAGAGCTTCCAGGAGAGAGTCAGCCAGCACTTTTACCTCAGGCAGAGCTCTCACGGGATTTCTATCTCATGCGCCCCAGGAGCCTCTACTTCACAGGGACCCTCGCACACCAAGAGCCTCCACGTCACAGTGACCCTCACGCACCAGGAGCCTCCACTTCACAGGGACCCTCACGCACCAGGAGCCTCCACGTCACAGGGACCCTCGCGCACCAGGAGCGTCCACGTCACAGGGACCCTCGCGCACCAGAAGCCTCCACGTCACAGGGACCCTCGCGCACCAGGAGCCTCCACGTCACAGTGACCCTCGCGCACCAGGAGCCTCCACGTCACAGGGACCCTCGCGCACCAGGAGCCTCCACGTCACAGGGACCCTCGCGCACCAAGAGCCTCCACTTCACAGGGACCCTCGCGCACCAGGAGCCTCCACTTCACAGGGACCCTCGCGCACCAGGAGCCTCCACTTCACAGGGACCCTCGCGCCCCAGGGGCCTCCACAGGGTTCTGTGACACTGAAAACCACATTTCTCTGAAGAGGTGTTACAAGTTCTAAATAAAGTCACATTTATTCATCTTAAAAATAAATCCATTTCACATACCACTTTAGGAGGAAATAAACTCAGGCACAGAATCCTACAATGCCAGCAAAACTGAATGTTCACAGATAACTGAAAATAAAACTGTCTACATGGAATTAGGACCACAAAGAACCATTTAAAATTCCATTTTTCCAAGGGAAAATACTCTCAAAGTAATACAGTCCTATTCATTCTCATGAATTTGTGCTTCAAAATGCAAACTTTACATGCTGCACAGCAATTTTATAATTCACATGGGCACCTTGAAAAGAGAACATTCTAGTGTGTTTAAGATGCAGCTTAGGGTACACATGATACTCGGCTGTTAACAAAATATAGAAAGATTCCCCAGGACAAGAAATTTATGGCTTTGTTAGGGTTGTGAGGTGTATTTTAGTCACTTTAATTTCACCAAATTTTTCTACTCCACTATTTTTATTTGTATCAAGGAGTAAAAACATCAATAGTTAACTTTGAATAGCACATGCTGGCACCGTGAAGGGGAACTGAAAAGACACCCAGTCTCAGGGAATGTCACTTCCAGAAAGTCTGTGCCATGGGAAGAAAAGGTGCTGCCATGCTGGGAGCCCCCACTTTCGCACTCGCCTCCCTGACCGCCCACCCTGCCTGCCGTTTCTGAGGCTCACACCCCAAGCAGAGCAGCTGTGGCCCATGAGCCACAAGCCGCTGTCCACAGAATGAGCCACAGAGGCACTGAGGGGGCCACCCGTGCTGCCTGTGAGCGTGTGTGGCCCTGTGTACCCACAGGGGGTCTCAGGGAGCAAATCCATCTACTTACACAGTTATCAAGACAGTACTCCAACAAGATCAAAAGAAGACAGGAAAGAAGGAGACTTGGGAGCGAATTCTGGTTTTTTTGGTTTTTTTTTTTTTTTTTTTTTTTTTGAGACGGAGTTTCACTCTTGTTACCCAGGCTGGAGTGCAATGGCGCGATCTCGGCTCACCGCAACCTCCGCCTCCTGGGTTCAGGCAATTCTCCTGCCTCAGCCTCCTGAGTAGCTGGGATTACAGGCACGCACCACCATGCCCAGCTATTTTTTTTGTATTTTTAGTAGAGACGGGGTTTCACCATGTTGACCAGGATGGTCTCGATCTCTTGGCCTCGTGATCCACCCTCCTCGGCCTCCCAAAGTGCTGGGATTACAGGCTTGAGCCACCGCGCCCGGCCGCCCGAATTCTGTCAAGCACAAGGCTGGGGAGATGCTGCTTCGACCGGGGGTGGGTTTCTGTGCATCGCAGCTGTCCTGGTGACCTCCTGGGGGAGATCCAACAGCGAACACCACCCACACTATGGCCCAGGCCCAACTCAGAGCACGTCAGAATCACCAGGAAATGTGAACAGTGGCCCCAGGTCCTCCAGGGCCTCTGCATCTGTGCAGGTGCCGTAGTCTCAATTCTCTTTGTGCCTTCCAGGCAACCAGGACGGGTGGGCTGAACAGCACATACTGAGAAACTCCCTCCGCCATCTTCCGGAGTTAGCAAGGAGCAAGCTCTCACCTTACAAGAAACTAACATTTAAATAGATTTCTTCTGGTCTCAACAACCTGCCATAGAAATGGGTTTTTCTGGCTGGAGGTGGAGGTCCCACCTTAAAGACCCCTCTCAGTCTACAACCCAGCCAGCTTCTGCCTGGCCACAGTGCCCATGAAGCCTCTCAACACTTCCAGTCTGTACCGCCTCAACCGCAGACACCTAAGCCTGCTTCCCTACAGAGCAGCCACTAACACGTACACGACAGAGCTTGTTCCTCATGGCTGTGAAACAGAGGAAGTGCATGTTTTATCTTATTTATTTTTAAACTTAAAAACTGATCATGGTATTAAGAACACTGAAGTAAGTCTGGAATAACTTGGGTATATGACTCTACTTTTTCAACTCTAAACTTTATGAACTCTAATATAGCTCAAGTATTTCCAATGAAAATTTAGCAGGCAAAGACTCAGTAAGAAAATAAGAATGTAAAATAGCTCCAATAATTTTATATTGATTACATGTTGAAATTATATTATTTTTGCATATTTGATTAAATAACGCTAACTCTATCGTTCAAGTTAATTTCTGTCATTTCTCTCTGCTAACGTGGTTATTAGAAAATGTGAAATCAAACGTGCAGCTCACATTCCGTTTCTACTGGCAGCAATGGGCATGCTGTGTAGCCCATCCTCCTCCACCGTGCCCTGTGTGTGCACAGTGACCATGCCATTACCTGTCGGCTGCTCCGGGGAAGTCGTGCCAGGCGCACTCCTGACATATCAAACAGTCTCACTTGTCGGTTGTCATGGGGGAGGGCTATGATTTTCTGGCCAACACATACGTTGATCCTGCAAAGCAGAGATGAAAGTGGATTGTGTATGAAAGAGTGACACTGTAAGTTTTTGAGTTTACAGATAATGATGCAGGAGATTCCTTATTATTCACAATTCAAAGCAGACTACATTAACAAAATACGTGTACCACCTGCTTACACGCAGTATTAAAAGGAGACCAAATTACTCACATACCCAACGAGATCACACAGACCCCATGTGCATATACACACAATACAGACACACACACACACACACACTGCTCAATGGTAGAAACAGACCCACCCAGACACAAGACCAACCCCTCACGGTGAGTAAAGGGATGTCCTCAACATCTGGCCACAAACAGGTCATTCTTATTCTCACAAATCTCACTAATCCAGCCTGGTTTTAGACTAACTTAGTTTAAGTTTTCATGGAATACTGAGACTGTGCTAGAGGCTGAAGGAGCCCAGGTCATTCTTATTCTGACCAATCTCACTAACCCAACCTGATGTTAGACTAAGTTAGTTTAAGTTTTCATGGAATACTGAGACTGTGCTAGAGGATGAAGGAGCCCAAACCATTTTCCCGGAGGCTCTATCAGTGAAACCTCTATGAATAAAACATGCAATCACAATCAACCCTTTCACATCAAACTAAGCCACTTACTTAACCAACAGATTTAGTTTACCTGTTAATGGCAGAGTCTGTGCGAATAGTTGCAATGGGGGATCTCATGTTTTTCAAGTCCCAGACTTTCACCGTACGGTCATCACTGCCTGAAACCACATTGTCTCCCACGGTGAACACAGCAGAGGTCACAGTGCTACGAGGAAGGGGGACAGGGTCAGACACAACAACAAAGACGCAGAGGCGACACCACACACTACACACACAGCCCTGACTGGGGGCGGGAAGGAGGTCGGAGATGCACAAGCTCCCAGCTGTCTCCTCTGCAAACTGCGTCTGCCTCCCAAAGCCTCTCCGCCGGTGCAAAACAAGGACGGCTGATTCCTTCACAGTAGATGAGGAATACACAGTCCATTCTACTCTACATCCCCAGGCAACGGAACAAAGAGAAGTGACAGAAAGTAGGGCTGGACAGAACACGCCCAAATGTCTACATATCTGGGTCTACAGCAGAGAATGAAAAAAAAAAAAAAAAAACACCCATTCCAACAACTCTCAATCAATTCAATCATGGCACAGGAGTTCGAAAAAAATACTCTGACAACTCAACAATTCAAACATGGACAAAGGACTTGGACAGACATTTTCCCAAAGAAGATACACAAACAGCCAAGAAGCCCTGCACACCAGCGTCCACAGCGGCATTACTGACAATGGCCAGAGGTGCAAACCCACATCCATCAGCAGATGGACCGAATGCAGCATGTGCACACGTTGGAATATTATTCAAACATAAAAAACAAATTCTAACACATGCAACAACATGAATGACTTTCAAGAAACACCTCATCTAAGATCCCTGAACAGGTAAATTCATAGACACAGAAGTAGAACAGAGGTTTCTCAGGGCCTGGGGAAGGGCAGGAATGGGGCATTTAACAGGCACAGAGTTTCTGTTTGAGATAATGAAAAAGCATGAGAAATAGTGCTGGCAGTTGTACAACAATGTGATTTCATTAAATGCCACTGAAATACATATATAAAATAGTTAAAATAGTAAATGTTATGTATATTTAACCACAAGTTTTATCTTAAAAAGTATGAGGAAAAAATTCAACATCAGAACCACTCTTGGAACCTGCTTATATAAATCCAACACAATAATTAATAATTTTCTTTTTAATTCAAATGTGTTGACGTATGTGGCCCTCAGGGAGAGGGGTTCAAGGAACTGAAGAGGCCCTAAAATGGTTAAGATGGAACTCAAGGCCGGGCGCGGTGGCTCAAGCCTGTAATCCCAGCACTCTGGGAGGCCGAGGTGGGTGGATCACGAGGTCGAGAGATCGAGACCAACCTGGTCAACATGGTGAAACCCCGTCTCTACTAAAAATACAAAAAATTAGCTGGGCATGGTGGCGCATGCCTGTAATCCCAGCTACTCAGGAGGCTGAGGCGGGAGAATTGCCTGAACCCAGGAGGCGGAGGTTGCGGTGAGCCGAGATCGCGCCATTGCACTCCAGCCTGGGTAACAAGAGCGAAACTCCATCTAAAAAAAAAAAAAAAAAAAAAATGATGGAACTCAAAAGGTAGCAGAAGACAAGAAATAAATAAGATCAGAGCAGAACTGAAGGAGATAGAGACACAAAAAATCGTTCAAAATAAATCAATCTAGGAGCTGGTTTTTTGAAAAGATCAACAAATAGACCACTAGCCAGATTAATAAAAAAGAAAAGAGAGAAGAATTAAATAGATACAATAAAGAATGATAAAGGGGATATCACCACCAATCCCACAGAAATACAAACAACCATCAGAGATTACTACAAACAACTCTATGCACATAAACCAGTAACCTGGAAGAAATGGATAAATTCCTGGACAATTGCACCTTCCCAAGACTAAATCAGAAATAAGTTGAAACCCTGATTGACCAATAACAAGGGCTGAAGTTGAGGCAGCAATTAATAGTCTACCCACCAAAAAAAGTCCAGGTCCAGACGGGTTCAAAGCCGAATTCTACCAGACGTACAATGAGGAGCTGGTACCATTCCTTCTGAAACTATTCCAAACAATATAAAAAGAGGGAATCCTCCCCAACTTATTTTATGAGACCAACATCATCCTGATACCAAAACCCAGCAGAGACTCAACAAAAAAAGAAAACTTCAGGCCAATCTCCATGATGAACACAGATGTAAAACTCTTCAATAAAATGCTGGCAAACCAACTGCAACCGTACATCAAAATGCTTATCCATCATGATCAAGTAGGCTTCATCCCAGGGATGTAAGGCTGGTTCAACATACACAAGTCTATAAATGCAATCCATCACGTAAATAGAACCAAAGACAAAAACCACATGACTATCTCAATAGACGCAGAGAAGGCCTTTGACAAAATTCAACAGCCCTTTATGCTAAAAACTCCCAATAAAATAGGTATCAATGGAATGTATCACAAAATAATAAAAGCTATTTACAACAAACCCACTGTCAATAACATACTGAACAGGCAAAAACCGGAACCATTCCCTTTGAAATCTGGCACTAGACAAGGATGCCCTCTCTCACCACTATTATTCAATATAGTATTGCAAGTTTTAGCCAGAGCAATCAGGCAAGAAAAAGAAATAAAGAGCAATCAGGCAAGAAAAAGAAATAAAGGGCATTCAATTAGGAAAGGAGGAAGTCAAATTGTCTCTATTTGTAGATGACATGACTGTATATTTACAAGACCCCATCGTCTCAGCCCAAAATCTCCTTAAGCTGATAAACAACTTCAGCAAAGTCTCAGGATACAAAATCAATGTGCAGAAATCATAAGCATTCCTATACACCAGTAACAGACAAACAGAAAGCCAAATGAAGAGCAAACTCCCATTCACAATTGCTACAAAGAGAATAAAATACCTAGGAATACAATTAACAAAGGTGGTAAAGGACCTTTTCAAGAACTACAAACCACTGCTCAAGGAAATAAGAGAGGACACAAACAGATGGAAAAACATTCCATGTTCATGGTTAGGAAGAATCAATATCATGAAAATGGCCATACTGCCCGAAGTAATTTATAGATTCAATGCTATCCCCATCAAACTACCAATGACCTTAACAGAACTGCAAAAAAAAAAAAAAAAACACTTTAAACTTAATATGGAAACAAAAGACAGCCTGCATAGCCAAGACAATCCTAAGCAAAAGGAACAAAGCTAAAGGCATCACGCTGACGGACTTAAAACTATACTACAAGGAAACAGTACAACAGAGACAGACCAACAGAACAGAACACAGGCCTCCGGAGCAACAACATACATCTACAACAGGCGTCCCCAAACTTTTTACACAGGGGCCAGTTCACTGTCCCTCAGACAGTTGGAGGACCACCACATACTGTGCTCCTCTCACTGACCACCAATGAAAGAGTTGCCCCTTCCTGAAGTGCGGCGGGGGGCCGGATAAATGACCTCAGGGGGCCACATGCGGCCCGTGGGCCGTAGCTTGGGGATGCCTCATCTACAACTATCTAATCTTTGGCAAACCTGACAAAAACAGGCAATGGGGAAAGGATCCCCTGTTAAATAAATGGTGTTGGGAAAACTGGCTAGCCATATGCAGAAAGCAAAAACTGGACCCCTTCCTGACACCTTACACTAAAATTAACTCCAATGGATTAAGGATTTAACGTAAGACCTAACACCATAAAAACCCTAGAAGAAAACCCAGGCAAAACCATCCAGGACATAGGTACAGGCAAGGATTTCATGAATAAAACACCAAAAGCACAGCAACAAAATCTAAATTAGAAAATCGGATCTAATTAAAATTCAGAGCTTCCATACAGCAAAAGAAACAATCATAAAAGCAAACTGGCAACAAAAATGGGAGAAAATTTTTGCAATCTACCCATCTGACAAAGGGCTAATATCCAGAATCTATGGAGAACTAAAGAAGATTTATAAGAAAAAAACAAACCCATCCAAAAGTGGGAGAAGAATATGAACAGACACTTTTCAAAAGAAGACATATATGAGGCCAATGAACATATGAAAAAATGTTCATTATCACTGGTCATTAGAGAAATGCAAATCAAAACCACACACTGAGATACCATCTCATGCCAGTTAGAATGGCGATCATTAAAAAATCTGGAGACAACAGATGCTGGAGAGGATGTGGAGAAATAAGAACACTTTTACACTGTTGGTGGGAGTGTCAATTAGTTCAACCATTGTGGAAGACAGTGTGGTGATTCCTCAAGGATCTAGAAACAGAAATTCCATTTGACCCAGCAATCCCATTACTGGGTATATATCCAAAGGATTATAAATCATTCTATTATAAAGACATATGCACACGTATGTTCATTACGGCACTGTTTACCATAGAAAAGACCTGGAACCAATCCAAATGCCCATCAATGATAGCCTGGATAAAGAAAACATGGCACATATACAACATGGAATACTATGCCACCATAAAAAATGATGAGTTCATATCCCTTGTAGGGACATGGATGAACCTGGAAACCATCATTCTCAGCAAACTGACGCAAGAGCAGAAAATCAAACACCACTTGTTCTCACTCATAGGCAGGTGCTGAACAAGTGGACACAGAGAGGGGAGCATCACACATTGGGGTCTACTGGGGGAGGGACAGTGGAAGGGAAGGTGGGGAGGAATAATGGGGAAAAATGTCAGGTATAGGTGATGGGGGACGGGGAATGGAGGCAGCAAACCGCCTTGCCAGGAATGCAGCTAGGCAGCAATCTTGCATGACTTGCACATGCACCCCAGAATCTAAAGCACAATTAAAAAAAAAAAAGTTTTAAGACAGCAAAAAAAAAAAAAAAAGATGAGAGAACCACACCCTGAAGATGAGAAGTACCATAAAGACAAGAAAAGAGGGGTAAGAAAGGTTTCATCAGTTTGTGTTATTTAAACTATTTTCATAAACTTTGCTCTTGAAATGTAAAAAACACTGTTTGACATGGTGCTAAGTATATTAAATACTCTTGCTGGTGGTAAAATTGTATTAAACATATAAACAAAGGATGTTATCACTTCAATTGCACTGAGGATCACTGAAGAAACCAGTCAAAATCTGCAGAGGAAACCGTGTCCTCACCGGCTGAGGCTGGGCTGGCGGGGGTCTGGGGTGACCCCCTTAACCAGCCAGCAAAAGAAAGTCACCAGCACC